AAAACCACATCCCTGTGGTCCTGGGCCCGGCATCTCTGCCACACAGGGTCTGCCCTGGCACCATCTCCAGCTGGCACAGAGAGGCCTGAACCTCGCCTCTGGCAGGCCACCGACGTCTCCCACAGGTACCCCATGGGCATCTGGCTTGGGCCCCAGCTCCCAGTTGCCCCAAGAGGCTCAGCCAGGACCTGGCCAAAAGCCCACCGGCTTCGCCTGAGGCCCTGCATCCAGCTGGCTCTGCACCATCACCACCAGCCCTTCCTGCATCCTTTCCTCAGGGCACCCCACCTCTCCAGTGTTCCATTAACACCGCTCCCCCTTATCCTTTTTGTTGTCCCCTGCAACCACCGGATTTATTTCATTATCCTCCGCCCAGCCCACGCCCTCCTCCCAGGAAAGGCACTACAGTTTGTTATACTCTGGCCAGTGCCCAGCGCCACGGGGAAATCAGCAAAGGCTGTGGCGGTTGGAGGTGATATTTAAGGAGCACGTGCAAGCTGGCAGTCCCATCTGCTTGCACACCATTCATCTTGCCACCCTTTTATGACAGTTGACACAAAGCTGCTCCAGCTTCCTAGCCATTGCCTCAACTCTGCAGCCGAGGGCCAGGCTGCGCTTAATGAACTTATTCGCGCTGTTTCCAAAGCAGTATTTGCTCAGCTACATACTTTGTGCAGCATGACCCCTCAGACTTTGAGTCTTGTTCCCCTCCATCATTTGTCTTGAATGACCAACACGTCTGTAGGTGTTTGCAATCCAAACCCCAGAGGTGAGTTTACAAAGCGAGGCCTGGCCCCTTTGAAGAGCTTGGCAGCGTTCCTGGGGATTTCGGCGGGGTAAGGAGCCCATTCCCGGGAACAAATTAGAGCTACAGCCAAACCCGTTTCCGCTGCAAATCACTCATCGGCTGGAGTATACGGCCACGCTTTGATAATTCACGGCAGCGTGCACATCTGCGGGGAGGGCCAGAACAAAGGGGGGGTCTGTGCGATGCTCTCGGGGTTGATGAATGAGCTGGGAATGCTTTGGCTGAGCTTCTCAGGGTGGGCTGGGCTGGGCTGGGGACTGCTCTGGGAAGACCATGCTGGCCATCACCACTCGTGGAGCGGGGGAGCGGCTGCAGACCATACGCGAGGCTGTGTCGTCCCATGAAGAGCTGCGGACTTTTCCCTGGAAGCCAACACTATAGCTCACTTTTTAGTGTGATACAGTTTGTTTTGATTGACTAACCATCAGGCTGCACAGCTACATTTTCTCGACAAACACTGGTCTGCTCTGTAAAACAGCAAGTTCCTGCCCAAAAGGCCCCTTAAGAATACGGGAGCTGGAGCCAGCCAGGAGCAGAGCTGGATCTTAAGCAGAAATCATTATGATATTTTTAATTGGGCTCCAAAATACAACAGGGAATGGTCTTTGTGCACAGGAAATGGGACACCACTTCAAAAAGAGCAAAAAAACAAGGCAGTAAGTCAGGAGCGTACAAGCAACATCTGGAGGAAGGCTGCCGGTGTGGAAAGGCTGCAGGACTTGGCATGTTTGTGCACACCTTGCTTCAAAAGGTCCAGTAAAAAACCCCTGAATTTGCTTTTAAATGAAACTTGCATCTGTGGATGCGGGGTCAGCAGCCCGCTTTGGTCTCTGTCTTTCTGCTTTTGCTTTCATCTGAGTGATTTTTCTTACACATTTATCCATCATTTTGAAAAATTCAAAGCCTTCCTCGGCTGTCACCGCAGTCAACTTGTCTTAGCACTGGCCAAATTAGAAAACTGCTAGAAAAACAAAAGATGATTATTAGGAAAAAAACCTGAAAAAATTGCTCACAGTGTAGAAAAAGGTAGGTTCTTGCAGAACTGGGACCCTAGTTTCCAATGTATGTCCATTGTAGGAAGGCTCCACTTTTTTGCATAGCATGGGCTTGTTAAGTGGGTAACCACATAAAAGGAAGGTCCAGTGCATTAAAATGCCATCATTTTAGATCTCTGGCACTTGTGAGCATGCAAAAATTCTGTAAAGTAGGCTTTAAAGCCTGTTTACCTTTGCTGAGACGGAAAGGAAAGGCGACTCTAACTGAACCCAAAGTGGGCGGCAAAGTCGAATCGTGGGCAATCTCCTATGGGAACATGTCTCGGGAAAGAATAGAGAGCTTCAAGGAGCTCCGAGCAATCTGACCCGGGAAACGTGGCAATTGCTTACAATTAATTAGCACAGCCCTAACCCTAACCCTAGCACATGCCGTCGCAGCTGGTCACTACTTCAAGACCAGGTTGGATGGGAGCAACCTGATCTAGTTAGCGGTGTTCCTGCTCACTGCAGGGGGGTTGGACTAGATGACCTCTAAAGGTCCCTTCCAACCCAAAACATTCTATGATTCTATGATTCTACTGTTACAAGTATATAGCCCCAGCTTTTCTTGGAAAAATTAAAAATATGTGTATTGCCTTATTTTTTAAAATAATAAGGTTTAAAAACTTAGGTGAGGACCTGACAGGCAAGTGCTAATTCCATCTCCAGTGTGCTTGGGGAGAGGGGTAAGAGATAGGATGCAGCCCTGCACCGTACCCTGGCACCGAAGCTTAGGACAAGCATGGGACAAGTGTCACAGGGTGGTTTGAGTACGTGTAGGTACTGGATGGCTTTGATAATTAAGGGCCACGACCCAGTTTTAACTAATAGGAGCTCTGGGTAATTGCAGTTCAGCTGGCTGCTGCTGTCTCTGTCCAAGCTGGGGCTGGTGGCTGGGAGACACCTGTGGCTGCCTTTAGTTCGGGTTTAGTTTAGTTTAGTTGTGTTACCAGTGAGAGCAAGAGAAGAGATTTTTTTTTCTTGCCACACACCATGTCACCATGCCTGTGCCTCGGCAACTGCTGTGGCTGCCATTAAAAAAGGTCTTCAGGCACCAGCCCTTTTATTACCCCTGGAATACAAGAAATCTGCAGGAATTTGAAAATTTAAGGATTTGTCTCTCTTCTTAGAAAGGGGAAGGAAAATAATGCAGAGGGGAGTGCTAACCAGGGGGAGGTGTTGGGAAGTGCACTGACATTCATTCGCTACAGCCTTGTCCCACGTGGCCATCTCTCTCTTCCCGTGCTCGCCAGGGATGCTGGTAACACCTTCCACTTCACCCCAAAGCAATTTCTATTCTAGTAAGGGCATTTTTAAAAGCCTATGTGGCAATTTGGCATGAAAGCGGGGCTTCAGCCTTCTCCTAGGCAAGGGGAATGGCATCGGGTGGCTGTCGGGGTGTGTGTTGTGTATAGGAATCTTTTTTTTTATGGGTATGGGATGGGGTGGCCATGCTCAGCCTCAATGGATGGGCTGGCAGTGCCAGCTTTTACAGGGTGGGTCGCTGGCTCTGCCACGGCACATGTCCCTTAAGTGAGTGCCTGCTCCAGAGAAGGGATTTGATCATCATTTCCGAGTCTGAAAATGTCATGTACCCTCCTGCTGCTGGCAACATCGGGTTGCCTTAGCTACGTGAGTCATGGTAACACAGCACAGCAGCCACGCAGGCGCTGCCAGGAGGAGCCCACTGTCTGAGGGCAAAGCTGAGGATGGATAGGGCTCACACCAAGGAAAAATGAAAAAAAAGGGGTTTTGGCGATTTACCTCCTCTGTGGCTTTCCCCATGCGCCTATCCATGGGACCTGTTAGCTTTTCTGTGGGATTGAACAATGCATTTAGCTTGCTGAGGTGTCTGTCTGGCCCGGACATCACATCTCCCTCCCGAGATGAGGAGCTCACGCTGCAGCTGTCAGCCATTGCAGGGTACTGGTGTTCCCACTGCTGTCATGCTTTTATTCCCATTGTCACTCTGTAATCCCAGAGACGAGCATCTCCTTCCCGAGGAGTCTGTCCTGGGAGAAGGACCCCTCGTTTCGCTGGTGGTACACCGGCATCTCAGCAGCAGAGGTAAGTGGAGACTCAAGGCCATATAAC